AAAATGACTTCCTAACTATGCATGAATAACGTCTCTGTGTTGCAAGGAGCATTAATTGTTTGTGTAAGCACTCTTTTCTACATGCGAGTTGGGCTACTAGTTCTGAAAACTGGATGGACTTACTCTGATTTTTAGCTAAACTTTAATTTTGTCCCCATATCCCAATATTGATATTCATCCTCGAAGTTCTTTAAGAGCACAAGGGCTCACCCGAGATCAACTTTAGAGCTGCCACACTGCAGTTCTAGAAGGTTGACTTGTTTAATAAATACATAGCTGAATGGTGTTAGGTTACAAAGTACTAATAGGACTTTCTTCAGCAAAAAGGCCTTTTAAATGGAAAAATGTGCATTTGTAATAATCTGGAAATTGGCTAGAATCCATGTATTTTTGAGCTCTTTAGTATCTCCGAAAAACCATCAAAAAAGTGTTTTTCCTTTGATATATGAACTGCAGTGTATCTTTGCATTGGCTCACATTATTACCATGCTTTTCAAACTCCTTAAATTACCATCTCCAGAAATGACACTTCAGACTAGGAGATCTTGGTGTTAAACCTGTCTGACTGCGTTAGCACCAGAAATGACACAATAACAGAGATGACGTTCACAAACTTCTTGGATCTTTCCGAAGAGTAGCAAATGACAGTTTCTCTACTGACAGTTCATCTGCTGTATTTATTAATAGAAAAGAAACATATTTTAGACATAAGATGAACAGTATTACCAGACCTTCTTCTACATTTCAAATACATTTCAATGTTCTTAATATGCTTAAAATGTTAAAACTGTACTTGGCATGTCAGTGTCCTCTGTTCACACATTTCTACATTTAAAGGTTCTGTGATTTTCTGCTTTTAATTTCAGAAACAGTCATTTAAAGTCTAAACTGGGGTGGGGAGGGACTTTGAAATGAAAATTGGGAAGATTTTTGACAATGGTATTGAAAGGCAGGAGAAGTTAAAAAGGAACTCAGCATAAAGGTGGGGTAAATGCCCTGCCAGGCCTTGGCTATCATTGGAGGTCCAAGAGCACCCCTAGTCAAGAGGTCTTCTGACCAAGAGAATACCAAATAACCCCTCTCCCCTCTAAATCTTGCCAGAGACGTCCACTCTAAAATTTGTCTGGGCATCTCCGTCCCAAACCATTTATTAAATTCCAATACATACATATCTTATTCCACTATTATCATCTAAATTTGGAATACAAAAGATTTCTAGAATGAATTAGGGGATAAGTTGCTTAAACCTAACGAGTTGATCTATTTGGGGAGAAAACAAAAACATTTTACAGATCAAAAACCACTTCTTTGTACAATAATTTATCTAAGCAGAGATGTGTGCTGGGACCATAGGAAAACAGCTGACTCACTATTTAAATGACCTTGGGTGAGTTATTTACGCATGCTGTGTCAAAGCATCTTCACCAATAAAATGGGGATCGTAGTAACACCTACTTCCCGGGGGTGCTGTGAGGATTAAATGAGATGTTAAGTGCAAAGCTCTTGAAACAGTGCCTGGCATGTGGTAAAGGCTATGGTGTTATGATTCCTGACATAAAGAAACGATGCTGTCAGTTATCCTTCATTAGTCACTGAGGCCACTCCAAGTTCCATGGAGGCACTAAGCCCCATACAAGGTTTCTACTATCACCCCCTAGCCTCGAACTTATCCTCTTAGGATGGTGTAGAGAAGAGAATAAAGTTCACAGGGGCAATTCTCCAAAAGACAGGTTCCTGGACCCCATCTCTGAGGCTGTGATTACACAGGTCACAGATGCGGCCGAGGAACCGTGTTTGGACAAGCGCCCCAAGTGTTCTGATGGAGATAGTGAGGGGGCTGCCCCATGAGAAACACTGCTGTGCAGCATTAGAAGTAGACTGCTTTTAGTAAAGAAGCATGCTGGAAATCTTGGGTGTTCATTCAAGTGTAGCAGCACGAGGCAGTAGTTCTTTGGTACATTTCAAAAATCGTTACGGATTTCTCCTATTCCAGCAAAGGTCAAATGACAGTCCTAAGGCAGTATCTAACGAACCGAGTTCTTGAGTCTGCCTTCATGTGAGTAGCAGATATAACACTTTTATAGGAAAACATTATTCAGAAATGGGTGACTCCAGCTTAAAAAATACTTTTTATTGTCTATTTTTGCTTAAACATGAATACCACTAAAAACATTTTTGGGACGGGGCAGGGTTAAAACACTTCACTTTATTTGCATTACTTTCCCCAGTTATCATAATTTTTGCTATGCTATGACATGCGATTCAGGGAGAGTCATTACAAATGTAAACTTCAGAATAAAGGAACCCAAGATTTTTAGGGTAATGTATTACAGAATACTTCAGAATAATCAAATTGCCTTCTTCTAATTGGAACAGCTACGGTAATAATATACTGTTATAAGATCTGTGTTTTCTGTTTTGAAAATAAACATGTTGGCCCAGCTCTATATGGCTGTGACGGTGAGGCCTTTTATTTTTTTAAGTCTCGTATTTTTTTTATCTTTCCTTTGGGAAAATAGGGTGACAAATAGTGATCCACATGGGGTCATCAAAAACTAATTATTCAACCTAACAGAATTTTTTCTTTCTAGGGTAGGATAATAAGCTTTTATAAACTAAAGTAAACTTAGTTTCTGTTGCCCTTAGTAGAATATTATATTCAGGCCTGCCTCAAAAGAACAGAGCATTGTTTTATTACACACTGACACACTGATGAGGTTTAACAAACAGTTTTTGGTGATTTTTAATCTGTTATTTTTGTAGCAGCCCTGAGAGGTAGCTGGAGCCATATGATCTCGAAAGAGGAACAGGGAAAAGGGGTACAGAACTGCCATGCAAACAACTTGGCCACCACTAGGACCAAATCACTAAAATAGAGCGCAGGGCGTGGAAGGTGGTGGGGAAGGGGGATCCAGAGGGCCTTGTCTAGGACCTGCTGATGGCTTTGCTTTTGAACAGCAGCAGAATGTTAGAGGATCTGGGATCAAAGGGCTGCAGAGGACCAAAGTGCTAATGGTAGCCATCTCGAAGCCACCTACAGGTCCAGGGACAGGTCGTGAACTGAGAGGGACTCTTGGCTGGGTGTCTGCTAGAGGGTGAGCTGAGTTCATTCCATCCCAGAGCATGTGGGGTCATCTTGTGCTGGGACCACCGCTGCCAATGCCTACCCAAATTAGACGTAGCAAGTCTACTACAATAACAAGGCCACACCACAGCCTTGAGAATGTAAGATTTGGGAGCGGTATTTGTGGGCATCACAAGATACTAAAAATACAGTACTTAAGCATAAAGCAAAGAAACCACGGAGAAAGAGACTAAGTACTCTAATGATCTTAGATTTAAAAAACTACCAGAGCTCAGTGACTACCAGGAAAAGTGAACGAGTACAATATACAGAAAAGTTCTTGCAGAGTCATTTCATGGAAATTTAAATACAAAAGAGCGGCATGTTCACACGATTTACATATATTTAAATGCAAGCAGCTGTCATACATATTGTCTTACAAATGTAATATGCTGTTACAAGTAAATAAGACACCTTAAAAATAAAAGAGAAAACATTTTTGTTGTAGACATCAAAAAAGACTGATTTAGAGAAAGGGACAATGAACCTAACACTGTTTTTGGACTAAAAGCAACCCTCTGCTATTCCTTATATTTTCTACCCTTTCCCATACTTTTTGATGACTTTAGAGAGGAATGTAATATTTTAACAATCAATAATATAAGCCAACTTTAAAATGAGAGAGAGGGAAAGGTAGAAAGCTGTGCAAAAAAGAAAAAAAGCAAAAATTACATTTTCCAGGACAAATCAGATCCACTTACCCACACTTTTGATTTTGGTGATGGAATATACTACACATACCCAAAAGTGATTTAAAAATTATATCCCCCAATTCTAAATTCTCTCCAGACATCCAGAAATAGGTGGTGAATGAGCAACGAGAAGAAGATAGTAGTTATTGCTTTGAATCAAAATATTATACAAAAGAGCCTGGCTCTCATACGCAAGAGAAAAACAAAGTACATATTTTCATTATGGAAGCACAAAAAAGTTGCGTTTCTTTTTGGGGGTATAACAGCCAGGAAAATCATACATTCCTTGCAAGATTCCCAAGCTCTTGCAGGCAAGTGGCCTTTTCCCCTCCCTAAAAGGCTGTGGGAGTTCTAGTCACTTTTCCACACTTAGGAGATGGAAGCAAGAGAGGTTGATTTACGCCAGCCTTGGATTCGTGGGCAGAATAGTTTCTCACAAGCAACCAAGAGCTGTGAAGGCCCCGGAACCTAGAAACGTGCCCTAGCACCATTGCTTGTGATGTCCTCTGTTATTTCACATGTCCATCCAGTTAGATGCACACCCAGTTAATGCCCACCAGGAGCACACCACTCTCTGTTATGCATACGGTTTGCACATGGGTCCATGGCCAAGAGAACTGAAGGCATCTACTGCACACAAGAGGAGAAACCATTTCCCAGGCCACCCACAATGGGAGCTGAGTACAAGATGTTACAAAACACACATGAAGAAGCAAGCCATTGTTTCAGGCAGCATTTAACTGCACAGTGCTCAGCACAAGATGAGAATAGGAGGTGGGAAGGCAGAGTTGGTCACTACACCTTTTTAGAAAAAGTATTTCTCTTATTTCCCAAACTCCAAGCAACTGGATACATTGTCCAGCTGATTTTCAGCTTACTTTAGGAGGTTTAAAAGTCAACTTATAAGATGGAGAGTTTATTAGACAATGTAATATATAAATTTTTACTTGGACAAGAAGATGCACAAAAAGTACTGTGAGCGAAAGGAACAAGGAATTTGTATTTTTTTTTTTTTAAAGATTTTAGTTTTTCCTTTTTCTCCCCAAAGCCCCCCAGTACATAGTTGTATATTCTTCGTTGTGGGTCCTTCTAGTTGTGGCACGTGGGACGCCGCCTCAGCGTGGCTTCATGAGCAGTGCCATGTCCGCGCCCAGGATTCGAACCAACGAAACACTGGGCCGCTTGCAGCGGAGCGCGTGAACTTAACCACTCGGCCACGGGGCCAGCCCCAAGGAATTTGTATTTTGTGCTGACTTCTAGGAGCTCACAGAAGAAGAATAAAGACATGAAAGATGAGTGATGATGAAAATGTGTTTAATTAATTATTCACATGATTAATCATTGTAATAATAAAAATAACTGGCAGGGCTAGGAAAAGCAGAAAGTGGGTCCAGAAATGGAACAAAGATGATTATTTTTATACTGAAGAAAAGAGGAAGTAATGGGTGTTGCGGGGGGCAAGTGTTGGAAGCATCTATCAAAAGGCTGCTTTACAAATGGGAGTCAAGAGTTTATGATTAATTGAAGAATTATTCAAATGGAAATTCCATGCTAACTTCAGTAGTCTTTGAGGCACAGAAAGAGAAAGAGAATAACCAGTTACTCAAATTCCTACAGCTGCTCTTTAATGGGATTTATGCCTTTTTTAGGTTTATCTTGAATTGAGAAATTGAGCACACTGCTTCACTGGTAAACAGTGCCACCTGTGAAGGAGGGATTTACTTAAGCACGCTTTATTCCTCCCACACTAAGGTACACTGGAAAGAGAGCAAATTTGGAACCAGAGAGCTTGGAGTCTGAATCTTGGTTCTGCTGCTTATCAGCATGTGGTTTGGGTCAAATCACTTAATTTCTCTGAGTCTCATTTTTTTCCTCATCTGTAAAATAGGTATAAAATATTGAATAATGAAGACTGTTGTAAAAATGAGAAATAATCACTGTGAGATACTAGGTACCCAGAAATACTCAATAAATAGCAGCTACAATTATTCCATAATTGCGAATACTCTTTTTATAATGGCAGCAAACTGTTGATGAATGTTGAAGACCTAGCTTGAAATGGAACAGATAACAAGTAATACAACAGTTCAAAATAGCTTTTGTACTTGAATTGTCTAAGCTAGCTCAAGGACAGCCATGTTATGTCTAGGATGCTCTAGTGTGGAAAATTCTCAAAAGAGCAAGACTGCATGCTGTGGACGCTTCAGTTTTGCAATGGCTGGGAGAAGGTCACTTAAGTAGCCATAACATGCAAAATATTAGGATGGCATCTTTGATGAGAATGTGCATGCCGAGACAAATTCCAGGATTATGCCAGCAACTGGTCTTCTGCCTTTCACTTTTGGGGTCGGTGCCTATAACCCCTTTTGGACTAGCAGCTTACATGATACTCATGAAAACATATAGGTATGTTAAGAGTGTTTAATCTTAATTGCTTGGAGAAAGTTTTAAATATGAAGGTCCTTACTCAAGAGAGAATATGGGATGTGAATGTGGGGGAACAGCTTCGGAAATTCCCAATTCTTAAAGCTACCTCTCTAATCTCTGTTATTAAAAATTTTCTATGAAGATGTAAGTAACTGATACTTATCCTTTTCACAAGGAATAAAATAACTACTTAAAACACATATTACCTAAAAGACCTTAATTATATCACTGCCTCATCCTAAACAACTTGGTATTCTTAAATTCTTAGATTGACTGCAGTAAGAATATATAGATTATTGCAAACACTCACGATATTTTACAGAGACAACAATTACAATAAAAAGTTCTTCCAACTGCATGGCAGAATGGGAGGGATACTTGATTTCCCTTGGAATTTTTTTGCCATCTTTGGATGCCTGGTGCTTTGATAGAGAATGTGCAACCACATTACAGTGAATCTGAACTTATCCAAGTGAAAACCAAATTATCTTTTTGTGAGTGTCAAATGGAAAATTATACTTTGTACATAGCAATTTATCCCCCTTCTGCCCCTTTCTGGGCATAATTAAGGGCCAGGTCAACTTCACACAATTCATGGTGAAGACAACAATATTTATTGAGCATTCTGCAAGTTATACATGTGCAATTAATCTCATTTCTTTTTTGGGCACAATTATATCATTTCCCCCATTTTACAATGTGGAAATTGAGACTCAGAAAAGCTGACTGACAAGTCCAAGACCAAATTGTTAGTAAACAATAGGGCAAGCACTAGAAGCCAGATCTTCTCATTTTAAGTGCAACAAGATTTGTTCTTCTCTATGCTGTCTTCATTAATTCATTCACAGGTTCATGGGTTCATTCAGCAAGCATTGATTGAATGTATCCTATATGCCAGGCACTGTGACAGGCTAGAAATACGAATTACAAATGGATCTCATCTCCAAGCCACTCACAGTTTGGTAAATAAATGACAAGAGCTCAGGATGGGAAGTGCTGTGGGAGCGTGGAGAGGAGTGACAGTGGCAGGGGCAGGGGGATGGTGATCCAGAAAGGAGTTCCAAAGGCCATGATACCCTTGGGGCAGCAGGGCAGAGGCCCTGGGCAATTGGTTCCAGCAGCAGGCAGCTTCCTCCATTCATCCCAGCGGGTGCCACCAACATTACCATTACCTGAGTGCCAAGACAGGGAAAATGGGGAGGCATGGTCTGAGGTAAGATGAGCAGGCTTTCTGAGGTGAAGATGGGGAAAAGCTTTCCAAGTAAAGGGAACAGCTGGATGAGGGCACAATGTCATACATGGCACAGCTCCTCTGGGGAACTTTCTGGCGTAGCTGAAATGGATGAGTCATGTGAAGGGGCAATTTGGAAATGAACAGAGGTATTAGCAGAGGCCAGGCATTGAGGGGTTTATGGTTTTGGGGGCCAAGAGAAAGAATGTGAACTCTATCCTGAAAGGTATGGGGAATGACTAAAGGATATTTTACAGAGACATGATCAGATTTGGATTTTAGACAGATCCCTTTTGCCTCAGTGGAAGACTAGATTAGAGGAGCCAGGAGGGAATGTGGCAGGAACCTAAGACAGACGTGAGAAGTCCTGGATTAAGGAAGTAGCCGTGTGGATGGCAAGGCAAGATGTGAGAGATATCAAGGGGCAGACTTGTTGAATGACTAGATGGGGTTTGAGAGCGGGAGGCAGGAATCTGTACCATCTCTCAGATTTCCGCCTTGGAGACTGGGTGGACGGTGAAGGCATTCTCTGAGTTAGGGGAAAAAAGAGGAAGAGCAAGTCTCCCTTTGGAGGAGGCAAGCCATACTGAACTTGATTTTGATATGATGAGAGTATGAGGTGCTCTGAGGATCTTCAAGTGTGTATGTCGATGTAATCTTATAGATGTATGATGGCACCCTTAACAAAAAAGAGAAAGCCGTGTTGCTGGATTGCTTAGCAACATATTTAGAAATATTTTGATATTTTTTTCTCAAAGCATTCATTTTAACATGGAAATTCATCAGCATATAGAAAAAAGAGGGATGCAAATAAATAAATAAGTGAGGATGGGTCTTACATAAATCTAACTACAGAACAGTATTTTAGCACGTAGATCTAAATATTTTCCCATATGCTCAACTAATATCATTCAACAGGTGACTTGAAAAAAAGGGGGAGATACCAAAGTCTTGAAAAATGAATTATTTAAAAATCTTCATTGTCACACACCCTTAATACATACTGCATTTACTCTCAGAAGGAAGTGTACACCCGAAGGGTGAAGGGGAAAGAAATAGTTTCCTTAAGTGAAGGAACAGAAAGAGCAGAGGATCTATCTGGCTGCTAGCCAATCAGAGAATATTGAAAAGCTAGACATTTCAAGGCAAATCGCTACTAATCCACCTTTTACCAAAGTTCTCACTTTAAGTTCACCTTTTGACATGAAATATTTAATAGGAACTTTATGTTAGCCGCAAAGTGCCCTTAAAAAATTTTTAATATTGGACTCCATACTAGGCTAAAAGAGGAAGGTATTAGGTGGCTGAAAAGAAACATGTATTTGAAAAAAAGAAGAAGAAAAAAAGGACTTGTGGAAAGCACAAAGCAGTGAGTTAGAATTTCTATTGAAAATTGAAAGTTAATGACAGCACAAAGTTTCTTTCCTATTGAGGACAGATGCTTCTTAAAGAATGGATAAATCAATAAAGTTCATTTTCTAGTGGCATTTGGAACCACAACTCTAATCTGCTGAAATGGCACAGAGACAAAAAAGCAAAATACAAATAAACAAAAAAAGGGTTTCTTGTAGAAAGAAAACTCCATTTACTTGGCTTCCACCCTCGCAGTTTATATTCAGCTCCCTAACGGGGAAATAACTTTCCCAGGAAGGTGGCTTTTTGTTGGGTGCGTGTATGATGTTCATTCGTCTCGCATCTAAAAATTAGAACATAACAAGCTTCTAATCATCACTTGTTAATTTGAAACAAAAGGAATTCCTTTTGCCATTGAAAGCAGATTGTAGTAAAAAAAGCAGCATTCTCCAAGGTCATATGCTGTTGGCAAAGCTCAAAAAAACCTTGCAGTCCAACTTGCTTATATTCAGCTGTGTTTACTTAGACTTAAGTTGACAAAGTCTGCCTCTGATTAAACCGAGCAGTCATCTGCCCACAGATAAATAGATACTACACAAACTTTTGCAGGGAATGACATTTGGCCTCCATAATTTTGGAATAATTTACTACGTACCCTCAACTTAAAACACCAAAATGATCCACAATATGTTTTGGGGATTGGAACATAAATATTTCATCTTACAAAGGGAGCACTCTCCACGACTTTTACGGATTTGAGGTGATTTTCTAACAAAGGCCGCTCCTTCTTTGGAAGGTGTGGGGCGGCGCTTCACCTGGCAGTTTCAGGCTACATTTACTGCAGTCTTTTCAATAACCATCAAGATTTCAAGGAATTTCTGTAAACAAGCTATCACTTAAAGAAAATAACTTTCCATCAATTTTTGCAACAAGTCTCCAGAACAGAACATGCATATAAAAATAAGAGTTAACTAAATTATTTCCAGAGACTACATGTTGGAGTAATGTTTACACTATTGGTAGAAAGCAAAAGCTCCATGTTTTACCACCATATCTCCCACTAAATGCAAAATTCTGCTTTTGGAGTAATGTAAACCATTTCCATGGCATAGAATCTGTTCCTGATTACCCAAGAATTGATTCTGGCTCATTGTATTTACTTTGCTTGCTGTTATATTTACATAACAAAAGATACACATACATACTTTCCTCTCCAAACTAAGATTATTTCAAAGGTGGAAGTACTTATTATATTCCCTAGCGATGAATCAATAAACCAATCAATCAACAGATCTTAAGTGCGTTTTGCTAACAGCTGGTAATACAGTAGTGAACAACAGGGAGATGGTCTCTGTCCTCTAACATTTATCTAAAGAGAAAAATGAGAAATTGAACACATACGGTCATTTTCTAGGTTGCTCATTTTAATTTATGCAATTAGGAAGAATTTTTCCGTACTGAAACCAACATATTTTCTTCCCTGACTCCTGTTTTATTATTGGCTTTACTCAGGGATGGAGCCCTTCGTTAGGAATAGTGGGGTGTTGAGGGATCTCCAAATGAATATTCTGCTGTGCCAGCTCCCTCTGGCAGTTCAGGCTAAGTCTGGAAAGGGGCTAGTTTTTGACAGATTCATTTAATGCTTTCTATTTTGGCTGTTATTCTAATTTACTAAGCTTGCTTTGATAAGCACTCTGTAAAGGGAACTAATGTAAACGATGGTACTGCTACTGTTGGTACAACTGCCACTTGTGTTTGCTAAGCCAGGGTTTCCAAAAGCTTTTCCTTGTAAAGCACTGAATCAATCCATGTACCTTACGGCACGTTTCCCCCATTGTTTTCTCTCATTCTGCTTTTGCTTTGAGATTCACAAAAGATGATTTTATACATATAAATTTAAAAAGGAATATGTTTTCAAATGTGCATGGCTTTAAGGTCAGCAAACAAATTCATAACATGTGCTGGAAGACTGGGATGATGTGCTCGGACCGATCTCGGCGAGGGAATGCATTAATTCTCCTTAGCTTTTAATGCAAAACTGCATCCACAATCATTCTAGAAAGGGCAGATTCCTCAGATTCGACGTGTCATCAGAGAACTGAATCCAGGAAAATGAGGGAGTACGAAACTCTCTTCTGAAGCCCAGCCACATGACAAAGCCAGAGGCATCTCTGAAGCCACTGATGCCACAGCAAGCCAAGTGGAGAAGGCAGCTGCTGCTGTTTGAAAAAATAACATTCACAGCTTGATACCTAGGTCCTGGCAGAGCTGTCTGAAAGAGGAAGGTAAACACAGTGGACACACGTGTGACCACACGTCGCACTTGTCCACCATGGAGGGAGGGGGCAGCTGATCTAGCAGACGTCAAGCAACGAAAACCCTTTAAAGAGCGGAGCCACTGTGGGCGGTTTCCTACAAAGGAAAAGTACATTCGCAAATCTTATCAGATTGGACCAAAACAAAACTGTGCACAGAAACTAGTACGAAAGCTCATTTCAAAAGAGGGATACAAAAATCTTACATGCGCAAATTATTTCAGATTCGGTCAAGGCTATCAGGCGGCAGTGTTATGTCTAAAAAAGTAAGACAGCCATCACTATCTCCAGACACACAGTTCATTCTCTACAACACAGTTTAACGCAGAAGAAAATATCAGCCACGGATCACTGACTGGAATTAGTTTGCAGATCTGCCGTTGAACCAAACTTATATGGCTCTCTCAACATGAACCAAAGGGTGGGGCGGCAGGGGGAAGCTTTCACAACCAAAAATCTTGAAAAATTGCCTATATTTTCTGGTTTCATTTTTCCCAGAACTGAAACACGACAAAATAACACCACCTCAGTGCACTCACTTCCAGCTCACTCAGGAAGTGCTGAGGTACATAAACATTTTTTTATTTCACTTTTTTACAAGAAGGTGACCAACATTTTCTTAGGCTTCCAAAAGGCTTCAGGTTTGGAATACATTTTGGTTAAATGTCAGCAAAGGAATTTGCTCATCGTTCAAAAAGCGCTTTTTCTTTCCAGCCTTGGAATATATGTAGAAACTGTGTGGTGAATGGAATTACAAAACGGTTCGGAGCCACAAAGGGGAAATCCAGTTTCACAATTCCTAAGCCTTCTGTAGGGAAGCATCCTGAACAGGAGGGGAAGAAGTAACACGGGACATTTACACAGCACAGCTGATCAAGTGCTTTCACAATCATTACCAGCAGCTCTGTGAGGTAGGTATTTTTCTTTCCCTCATTTTACAGATACAGAAATAAAGCAGCGAAGTTAGATAACTTACTTAATGTTTCTCAGTTAGTTAGTGGTAGAGAAAATAATCTCAGTTCAGATCTTCAAAGTCTAAAACCATAATCTGAAGGCATTGATTGAAAGCCAAAGCCAGCATTATACGTACATAATGGGAAAATAATAGAAGCATTGCTATGAAGGTCAGAAACAAGACAAGAGTATGTGCTGCCATCACTGTTATTTAACATTGGACTAAAAGTACAATCAATGCAGTAAGCCAGAGAAAGAAATCTATGGCAAAAATTTCCAAAAAGAAGTAAAACCATTACTATTAGCAAACAACATAATTATATTATTAGAAAACACAAGAAAGTCAACTGAAAAACTACCAAAAATGATAAGAAAATTTATGGTGGTAGCAGAGTAAAGTATTGACATACAGAAATTAATGGTTTTCTCATATAAACAACACCACCAGTTAGAAAAATGTGATAGAAGAAAGGGCCCTACTTACAACAAGAAAACAACAAAAAGATAAAATGCTTAGGAACAAATTTAACAAGAAATGTGCAAGACCTATTTAGAACATTGGAAAACACTACTAATGGCCACAGAAGAAGACATGTACAGACATACCAAATTTTTGATAAGATGATTCTACATCTTAAAAATATTGATTTTCTATAATTAATTCATAAATGTAACATAATCCCAATAAAAATAACAAAAGGGTTTTTTTCAAGTAGACAAGTTAAATAAAGTTAATATGGAAAAATAAACAAGCAACAATAGTTAGAAAAACTATGAAAAGACAAGAAGAATGAGGGGAAATTTGCACAGTCAGATATTAAACAAATTCTAAAGCTTCAATAATTAAAACAGTATGAGACTGAACATGACTAGAAAGAAGAATCTACAGAGAATAGAAAGATAAGATAGACTCAGTTTAAAATGTGGTTATTTCCAACCAGGGAGGGAGGAGAAAGATTGATCAATAAATGGTGCTAAGATAAATGAGTAGCTATATGGAAAAAAATATAGTTTGCTATTTTCTTCACATCTTATTATACCATATTTCAAACTAAGATACATTCCAAATAGACAAAAGATTTAAGGTAAAAACTGAGACTCATAGAAACACTAGAAGAAAACCTGGGACACTCTCTTAAAGCTTTGAAGTACGGAAGTTCTCTCTATCACTTAAAATCTAGAGGCCACAAAAAGAAAGATTGATAAATGTAATTACATTTTTTTAAAAGGCTACATGGGGAAAAATCAAAAGGAAAATCAAAGCATATATAACTAATTGGGACAAAATATTCGTACTTACAAATATCACAGGCTAGTTTCCCTACTCCCTAAAGTACTCTTCAAATTCATAAACCATTATCAGCAAGAGAGTCCATAGCAAAAAGAATGTGAATATACACACACAGAAAAAATGGAATTTTGTGACAGGCTTATTTCCACTTAGAATAACGGCTTCAAGGTTCATCCATTTTGTAGGATGCGTTGGAATGAGCCTTCCTTTTTAAGGCTGAATACTATTCCATTACATGTTTATACCACATTTTGTTTATCTATTCATCTGTCAGCAGACACTTGGGTTGCTTCTACTTTTTGGCTCTTGTGAACAATGCTGCTATGAATGTGGGTGTACAAATATCTCTGAGTCCCTGATTTCAGTTCTTTGGAGTATATACTGAGAAGTGGAATTGCTGGATCATATGATAATTCTATTTTTAATTTGCTGAGGAACAGTCATACTGTTTTCCACAGCAGCTGCACTATTTTATATTCCCACCAGCAGTGCACAAGGATTCCAATTTTTCCATGTCCTCGCCAACACTTGTTAATTTCTTTCTTTTTTTTATAATAGCCATCCTAATAGGTGTGAAGGTGTATCTCACTGTGGTTTTGACTTGCATTTCTCTAATGATTAGTAATGTTGAGCATCTTTTCATGTGCTTATTGGCCATTTGTGTATCTTCTTTAGAGAGATGTCTACTCAAGTCCTTTGCCCATTTTTTAATTGAGTTATGTGTTTTTTGTTATTGTGTTGAGTAGTTTACCTTTTATACAGAATGGGGAAAAATAAGTAAGAATTTACATTCATATTTGCTCTTACATATATAAAGAGTCTCTGTAAGGATATAGTAAAAGTTAAATATTTTAAAAACGTACTTAGACAAGATCCCTCTGTATATAGCATGCTGTATTTCTTTGTAGCATTTGGCACACTTTATTCAATGCTTCTCTTCCGCAATATGCTGGCTGTCACATTCATTGTTTTAGCTCCAATACATAGCAGAAAGGATTCTCAATGATTACTTGTTAACAGACTGATGGAGAGAGAGTAATTTATCACATTAGAACACACAATGTTATTAAGATGCTAAACTGTCAAATTACAAGAGTAGTCACATTGAAAACCAGAAACAAGGACCTCAAGGAGTCAGTGGGGGCTCCCGGATGCATTATGACTTTTGTGTGTTCTAGGTCGTGTTGCCTTTGTGGACTCTTTCCTCCATAAAAAGATCTTAAAATTATCTTTTGTACAAGTACATCAATATATAGACACACATAATCCAGGCTTATTACATATTCATTATTATTATGTTCATTTTTCTTTTGATTTTAAAAGAAATTAAAATGGAAGCATTTTCATGGGCCTGGACACTGTGCTACTGTGACTCGTGGGAAGTTGGCCCCCTGGGTAAGGGAACCCAGGAAAGACTAGTGGATGGGAGGTTTTCTTAAAGAAAGCAGGTCTATGATGCCAAAGGCCATGGTCCTGGAGGATGAGGAGGCAACATGAAGATGTGGGAACCCAGCACACACAAAGAGACGTAAAAGAAACATGGAAATTCAACCATTTCGAGGCTCATCTTCCCTGCTTTCACACCACTGCTTCTCCGTCCTCTCTGACAATTACTTGCCACAGTACTTGGCATCCACTTGCACTAAATGTGGGCTAATTCTGCAAAACTAACTTAATAAGTTTTGAATTTCAAAGAAAAAGAAAATGGAATTTTCTTCCTGCCCTACCCTAAATGTCTTAGTTAATCCACTTGTATTTTCAAGGGAAATTTACTTTTTAAAAAACACATTCTTTTTAAATGGGAGCTTATATCCTATTAAAAAAATTCTGTTTGAAAGCATGGTGACTTGCATTGTCCACAAGCAGATTAAATTAAACTGTTCTCTGCATTATTCTATTAGAAAAGAGCAGGTTAAACCAATGTCAACTCTGTACTCTTAAAAAAAAGGGAGAGTGGATGATGCCTTTATAAATTTTCTAAATAATTTTCTCCTACATTCTGTCCCTGAAGAGGGAAACTATTACCTCTCTTCACTGATTTAAAGAAATTTTGTTAAAACTTAAGAAATACGTCCAACTAGAGAACATTAAAGTCTTTAACAGTTGGTGTGACATGTACACCAACCAATTAGAAGAGATTTTGGCTGTAAAGATAGGGACCACTGGCACATACTGTCCAATATTTAACACCTTGTAGAAAAAGCTTTGCTTCCAACTTCACGTGTTTTTTCCCTGATTTAGTTCACTCCCCATCTCAAGACCTTCGACCACATGCCTGAATCTAGAGAATCTATGCTTTTCTTCTGTACCATTCATTTATTTATCCCTTCATTCATCTATGCATTTCCTTATCCCTTGAACACAACCAGATGTACTGGATCCTGGGGATGAATGAGACAGAATCTATATTGCAGGGGAGTCACAATCTAACGAGAGCAACAAATTAGTTCTTTTCTTCACACTGATTTTCTGGTACATCTGGTAACAACAACAAAACAAAGGTGAGCTGATACGTGGATGTGACTCTATGCCATATGCACGAACGACCATGAAGATACCAGGGTTTCTTTAAGATTAGGATTCTGCGCTCCTCCGGAGTGGGACTGAAGGGGTATCAGCCAGCTTTCAGCCAAATGGAACTCTGACTTCCTTCTTTTTCATGCCTCTTTCTCGACATCTATGAGTTGTGATGAGACACTTGTTCCCTTACTTGCTTCCCACCACCACCACTAAGGCATTGTTGTCTAATAGAATTAGGATGTGAGCCACACGTGCAAACCACATAAGTAATTTTTAATTTTCTAGTAGGTACACTTAAAAAGTAAACTGAAGATAAAACTATTTCGATAAAATACTTTCTTTAACTCAATATAGCCAAAATATTACCATTTCAACATGTAATCAACATAAAAATTATCAATGAGATATTTTCCATGCTTTTTTCCCCTTGTACATTTAAACACATGTCAATGTGGACTGGTCACATTTCAAGCGCTCAATTGCCTCAGATGGCTAGCGGCTACCATATTGGACAGCACAGTTCTAAGTGACTCTAGATAGAATGGACACATGAAACATCCCTTAAATCTCAGAGTGATGCAATGAATTCTGAGAGATCTTCAAAAGTACAGAAATGTCCACAGTTTTCAATAGTACTCTTGAAAGCAGAGAGTCCTAGAATTGTCCTACAATGAAAAAGCCAAAGATAAGTTAGGGCTTGATTTGCGTCCATGTATTTTGATTCCTATTCTTACTCCCTACTTTAAAGGAACCTCTTATTCTGGGTTCACTACTAACTGATCACAATGGTCAGATTCCCCTCTCACCAGCTCGTCTTTGCTTTCTACATTAGCATGAGAAGGAAAGATTCCTTGACGTTACTAACTCCCTGCGTATTTCACTCTTTTTCCCTTAGAGGTACCTTCTTATCTTGTTCCTGGGCCCCTGGGAGAAGACTGGACAAAGCTTATAAAGTGATTACACGTAAGTCCCACGGTACTAAATAAATAAAGAATACTGGTTTAAAGACTGACCCAGTACTACTTAACATGGAATCCATAAATTCCTTCAAGAGTCCATTCAGGCCCCACTTGTCAATAATTCCTGGTATTTAAAGATTCTCTGATCGTTAGCAGGCAGAACCTGATCCAGAAATAAGTGTCATTCCCGTTACATTCTGCCTTTCCTTTCTCCCTCTAGCTCTCTGCTTTCTCAATATAATCGAATTTTCATATGTCGTTTCCCCATATCACTGTGAAGTCTTTTTGGTTCTTTCTTCTCTAGATTTTCTTCCTCCTACTCATTGTTTCTTCTGTCTTTCTATCTGTGACATCATTATTTCTTATGCCCTGGCATGTAATCACATTTATACTTTCTGTTTTGGTTCTGGATTATTCTCTCTCAAAATCAGATTCTCTAACTCTTTATCAAGACAGATTTATCCGAAACATAGTCAAATATTACAACAGCCCTTCCTTCCCAGGAAAAAAGCTTATATATAATTTGCCTCAAGTACACAAATTTAAATGCTCAGTGGTTAAAATAAAAAGGTGAATTAGGGGCTGGCCCAGTGGTGCAGCAGTTAAGTTTGCACGTTCCACTTCAGTGGCCTGGAGTTTCCTGGTTGCGATCCTGGGTGCGGACCTACACCCCGCTTGGCAAGCCATGCTGTGGCAGGCATCCCATATATAATGCAGAGGAAGACGGGCATGGATGTTAGCTCAGGGCCAGTCTTCCTCAGCAAAAAGAGGAGAATTGGTGGCAGATGTTAGCTCAGGACTAATCTTCCTCCAAAAAAAGGTGAATTAAGTGCCTTTTGACCCTGGCTGAGTCTTTTTAGGAAGACAGAAAGGACTTGAAGAGATCAGTGTAATGGTGACCAGCTGGTTCGAGAAGTCAAAGTGTTTCCGAGGTTGCTCCTTTAACATTCTGATACTGCATCCTCTGAGCCTTCCTCTGACTCATCAACCAGAGAAACAGCTAAGACAGCAAGGGCCACAGAAGGTACTCCAGTGCCGGGGGGAAGCATGGACAGGGCCTAATTTCCAATTTGGAGACCTCTAGCTCTTCAACACAACTTCAGAATTGCAGTGGATATAATGACATTTTTGGTCTATCCTCAACTCCATAGCTCCACCAGTTTCTTAACATTTGTGTTTACCGGTGATATTTCTAAGTCACATCATGGGACTGAACAGGGCGTTTCCTTCAGTTGTTAGTGCCGTGGAGTAGATTCCAACTCCTAGCAACCCTGTGGACAGCAGAGCAGAACCCTGCCTGGTCTTTTTGCACCATCCTCTCACCTTCACGTGCTGTATCAGACATGCTCCACTGCTAGTCATAGGGTTTTCGTGGCCAATTCTTTCAGAAGTTGGTGGCCAGGTCCTTCTTCCAGTCTGTCTTAGCCTGGAAGCTCCGCTGAAACCTGTCCACCATGGGTGACCCTGCTGGTGTTTGAAATAGCTTTCAGCATCACAGCAGCACGCAGCCACCACAGTGTGACAACCCACAGATGGGTGGTGCGGTTCCCCGACTGGGACACAGCAGTGACAACCAAATCTTAACCATTAGACCACCAGGGCTGGCAGTTTCCTTCAGAAATGCGATAAATTCTAGCCCGATCATATCACTGCTTTTCAAGTAAGATGATAGATAATCTTTCTGTACTGCCTAATCACAAGTAAGAACAAAACCATCCATACTAGAATACCCTCGAAACAGAGGTAGATCCCAGGCAACAGAGCTTTGAAATCACAGACCAGCTGCAAGGAGGGAAGCTGAGTCACTGGGAGAAAGAACGCATCTCTTAGAATAACATAGTTTCAAATTTGAATCAAATGGAAGAAATTACCTAAAAGACTCCTCTCCTAAAATCACTATGCACTTTTTTAATACTATGCTAGGCCATTTTCTATTCTTATATCATGTTCTTCACTTTTTCTAATAATACATGTATCATTTTCTCTGTAAAGAACATAAGCATGACCCAAAGTGGTTTTTTGCTGGATTAATTAATTTGTTTTCTTTTTTCCCAGAAGCTTCATACCAACCTCAGTTTCCAAACTGGACAGGTGAATGGACTGGGAAAGTCCACAAGCATGGGCTTCTGAGCCCAGGGACGGCCTCCACACCAGCTGTCCTGACCTGGATCCAGCCCTGCAGTGGTCCTCACAGTGCCCTGTGCCTAATCACCCACTCTGCTCCAACGAGGAACCTCAAGAAAGTTCTAAATTCACATGGCCCCAGGAAGACCAGGACCCCCACAGCTGTCTCCAAATGGGGTTCCAAACCTAGCAGGGATGATGGCTGGGCTTTAGGGAATCCTTGAAATCCCTAAAATTATAAACAGGTATAGCTGAAGAAAATAAAATGCTATTTAACATCACAAATGCCTTATAAAGAAAATTAAAGTTATGAACTACAAGGTCCCTTAGGTTTGTTTAGCATCTTGATAGATGGGTTGAGCTTTCAAGGGTAGGCCCGGAATGGAGCTTGGGAGCTGAGGCTGGAAACAGCTGGCTTACACTACACTGCATGGAAAGAACTTGGAGATTCTGAAGCAACTGGGAATTAGGGGTGAGCAGGGAAGAGTGGAAGGGAAAGCATGGAGCTAGTGGGATGCTGTGAGGCTGGGTACCACATGGGGCAGAGGAGACAGGGCAGAGTTCAGGTGGGGTGGCTAAAGGACACTTAAGAGCAAGGACAAGTAGTGCTCTCTGTGAAGTTATGTGAACTGCTGTGATGTAAGGTCCTTTTTCCTCTCCAAATTTTCCATACAGTCTACTACACACACATGCCTTCTGAGAGCAGGGCGTCTTCTGGCACTGAAGAAGGGAGTACATTTCATATCTGAATCAACATCATGCAGAACAGGGACCACATGTGTGGGATGGCAATGCGACCCATAAATGAACACACTTTGGGAAGTACACAGTTCCATACGCTGTGAAGACAGAACCCTCAGGCATCGTCAGAAATCTTCAGAAGAGTCCAACCTTCCACAGCATGGAATAAAGTGTCCAAGGGAATCCTATTTACGTCTAAAGGATCAGAGATGCCTCTGTTGCCATCTGGGTTACACAAAAGGGTGTGGGTGGGGGAAGTGGATGTGCGTTTTTCTGGAGAAGGATCCAAAGCTTTTTATCCAATTTTCAAAGCCGTCCATGTACAAAAGGAGGAACAGCTCCAAATAAGTTAAGAGCCACTGGTTTGGAGAGTTCTACTCCGTAAATGATTTTTTATTTTGAGTACACTTAACCAGGATGGAAAACACTGTAAAATTGAGTGGAAAGAGCCTGAATGAGGAGCTGAGAGACCAAACTTCTCTTCCTGGCTTGGTGGTTAAGTAGCTATGCATCAATGGGTCACTCTCTCCCACCCTGCGAGAAAGTGGGAATAATTATCCTTATTTTTACCTCATAGAGTTGTAATGAGGATCAAACAAAATAACAGATGTTCATGCACTTTCTACAGTACATAGAGCAACACAATATATTATTAGATCTAATCTGGCATGAGATTTGCTAACCTAATACCAGAATAGTAAGTACAAAAATGACCTTAGTGAAAATATTTTTACAATTCAATCATGGATATTATTCCCTTTTCTTGCCATCATAAACAATGGCATTCTGCTTTAAAGGATATTTTTATCATTCATCCAACTTTTGGAGTTTCACGGTGTTCTAGCCTCACTTTACACCGTTTTGTGCCTCTTCCTACCTCCTCTGTAGGCCAGCACAGCTAATTTGTGTAAAGGCAAACGAGGCTTCGCCCGCTTTTTCTATGGATGGCATTGGGCATGACATTTGATCTTACAGAGGGATTAAGTCATTCATGAGCTGAGCCCAAAGGGAGGAACAGTTCCCAAAAAACAACCAGCCGTGCTGGTACTACAACATCCAGAAATTCAGTCATTTCTGCTACAGTTATAATTTGTAGTCTGTCTGGCACTGAGAAATCTAACTGCAGTCTCTGTGGTTTAAATAAAATGTATCTACAGCAGCTTGGAGCCATGTTTTAAAACGTTCCATGTTATTTTAGTTCAAGGACAAGCTTTTAAAATTAAAAGAAAACTTTGGCTTTAATTATAGATGAAAAGTGAAAGGTTTTTTTTTAAAGGAATGCTATTGAGTCCCACTTTTGGAGAAAGCATTTGAAATAAAAAAATTAATTCTTCTCCTAAAGTAACAATCTTCATTAATATGGGAAGATCAAAAACTGAGAGCACACACTCACACACAAAGACAACATTTTTGTGGTTTTAAAACTATGATAGTCACAGTTCATCTACTCCGTATTATAATTTCCAGTGATTTCAGTTACATTTCATAAGCAGGATGCAATATTTTAGACAAAGACAGACCTAATAAAAGGCAAGTGATATTGTTGTTTAACCTTAAATTTAACAAAAACTCACTATCTGACAATCTAAATTTATGAAACAGAAGTTGACTTACATTGTTCGTATGACTAAAGGATTCACTGCAGGATTATTTTAAAATACCAAGTGTCTGCACTGTCCTGAAAACTTGACTCAATTTAAATCTGATGTTTCTGGAATGCATCTATTCTGAAATTCAAGGCACAACTTTACATTCTGTGGATTTATACAGAGGGCTGATGGAGAAGCCTAAGTCAATGCACCAGCAGGGGCAGTAAGTGAGGGCCGCCTCTTCTCCTGCCCTCAGCATTCTGGGGCCATGCAGGATGCTACGGGAAGGAACCTGACTGCAATCCTACTTGTTTTCTCAGCAGACCTGCCGCCCCTTTCAAAGGAACAGCTCCCCCTAATACACGGCCCCATCACCCCTGTTCTGCATGATTGCTTTATCTACCTTCACCACAGATTTGGACTCCATAGCTCTCAGGAGGATTGCTTCAGGCAGATGCTTGGCTTCCTCTGGCCACTGTTATGTCCCTGGATTCCCTCTCCTCTCCACAGAGATGCCCTATGCTCCCTCCTGGGACTCTAAGGCCGGAACACTATTGTGTGTGCTACAGAGAAGGCTCCATCCTAATGGCGTCATCTCCAGCCTCGAATGCCCACACCGGGACTCTGAAAGAAAGGGTTTGCGGTAGGACAAAAGAGGGACGAAATAAATTCTGGACTGAAGGTTGTTATCAAAGATGGAGGAGCCACTTGGCTGATCCTAATGTTCTAGAATGGGGAAAGGATTACGACGAGCCAGAGTAGCCACAGAGGCTCCCTTAAAACTCTCTCACACATTCATTCACTTAGAGATTTACAAGTTCGATTTCAAAATACCCTGTGGGAAACGGTGGTACTCACTTCATGGGGTGGTAATGAGGATTAAGTAAGAAAATGCATGTCAAGTACTTAGCACAGTGCCTGACACTTGATAAGTGCTCAATAATTACCAGCTAGTACTACTGTCATTAGTATACCTTAGTGTCAAGTATTTTGACCATGCTGTTTTCATCACCTCACAGGTGTCAGCTGTCCTGAGATAAAGGCCTGCAGGTTTTGATTGAGACATGGATAACCAGGAACTCTGAAGGACTGAAGGGGCAGACGGAGCACCTATTGTGATGGGCTGGGGATTGAGGGTAGCATAAAGACCAAGGCTCCTTTGGAGGTAGGCGAAAAGGAGCCAGGAGGTAGAAGACGACTTAGAAAAAGAGATGGAAGGATCCCTCAAAGATAAACCACCACCTTTGTAACTTTCCCCAGTTTGGGAAAAGTAAAGGATAGTGGTCACGAACAAGGTTTTAGAGTCAAAGAGATCCGAGTTCGAATCCTGACTCTGCAACATCGCAGGTTATGTGGAAACTGTGCTATTTAAGTCCTTTCTCTCATCCTTAAAATAAGGATAGTAATACATATATCATAGAGTTATTGTAGGAACAGCACAATGCCAGGCACATAGTGAGTGCTCAAAAAATGGCAATTGTTGTTACTGTGTGTGGTAAACATTCATCACATCACTGGGAATTACGCAGCCATCTACCTTAGAAACAGATTGTCAGTTGCCTGATGCTAGCCTACATGTTACCAGATAAAATGTATGTATCCTTAAGGAAAGCAAGACTAACTAAATGAATAAAGAGAATAAGTATGTATGTTTTTTATGCTTATATGTAAATAATTATGTAAGTAAATTTCAACTAATTTATTTACACAAGCCTTGATTACTCAGTTTATAGACTATCCCTACCAAAAACATTTAAAGCAGTATATTTTTTATACTTTATAACTAAGAGATCACACTAAGGATGATGCTTATTGTCTAAACATCTGAGGTTGGACAGGCAAACCTTATCCAAACCTCCCTGCTAAGCGCTCTCTGCTGGGATAGGCAGAATTTTGCCCCCATGACTTTTCCACCTGGTGTCCCATCTGTGAATATGTTATGTTACACATTAAGAGTGACTTTGCAGACTTAATTAAGATTACCAATCAGTTGACTTTGAAATAGGGAGATTATCCTGGATTATCTTGGGGGAGTTCAATGTAATCATGTGAGCCCTCAAAGGCAGCGCTATCTCCTGGTTGGGGGTGGAGCTGGGAGGCAGAGAGTTTTGAGCATGAGAAAGACTCAATGTGCTGTTGCTGGTTTGAAAATGCAGGGGACCAGAGAAAAGGGATGCGGAAGCCTCCAGAAGAGGAGAGGCATGGAAATGGGGCCCATAGTGCCTATAACCACAGGAAAAGGAATTATGCCAACAGCCTAAATAAGCTTGTGAGTGCGTTCTTTCCCAGTGCCACTAGGTGAGAGCACAACGTGACTGATGCCTTGATGTCAGCCTAGTGAGAATGCGAGCAGACGATTCCGTTGTGCAGTGCCAGAATTCTGTCCTACAGAACTGTGTGATAATAAACAGTGTTGTTTTAGGTTGCTGCTTCTAGTAATTTGTCAGGCACCAATAGAAAACCAATACACAGTCATAAAAACCGTTCTTTGATTTATAACTACAGTCATCAGTTTTGACCCTGTCATGGTTAATTAATTAAAAATCAACATACTCCATTCCTGACAGTGGCATACCAGCTGTCCATTCCTGGCAATGTATGTGCTATGATCTCAAGCTGGCCTTCTGGCACTTCTCTTGTCCCTCTTAGTTTCAAGGCCTTCACTTACTTACTATTTTCTTAGAACAGGTACTTGGATATGCTGCTGCCCATTAGCGTCTCCAACAGAGGGAGTACAGGATCATGAAAGAAAACCCTTCACATCCCTATCTTCCAGGAAAAGCCTTGTGAAGGGATATTCTGCAATGACTGGCTGAGAATTAAGTCTGGATATTTATTGTTTATGCTGTCTGCTCAAGGGCGAGATCAACCAGTGATAACATGTAAAGCCCTTGACCTCATCAGAATGATTCTAGGCCTGCAGAGGATATACCAAAGCATTCGCTAAATAATCCAGAGAAAGACCCACCCAGTATTGCAAATACTGCCTAAGACAGTGGCATTAAAGTCAAGTAATGTTAGGTGCTCCAATAAAAGAGGTGCTTCTCTAGGAAAGACATTAGGAACAGCAGCCCATTTTAAATTAATTACTGTATACATAACACAGTTTCCACATGTTGACAGCTGGACCTGGACGATCAAGCATAACTCTGAAGGAAGAAAGGAAACTCATAGAAAAGTATTCTGTGGTCAGCCCACCACTGCCCAGAGACATAGAAATGTGGCAAGATATTCAGTCAGCTCATCCACAGTCGAATAAACCAAGGAAGAATCTGGACAGGAGAGCCCTGAACAAAGACAATTGTTTTGTACTTTATTGTTTAAGAAAAAACAGAAAGCAAGAGAGAGGGAGAAAAGGAAGGAGGAGGGCAGGAATGAGACAGAGGAAAAAAAAGAAAGGAAAGAAAGGCATTAAGGAAAAGTCAAGATATTTTGACATTTTCAAAATAAATCAATAATGCAAATTTTAATGTAATTGTAATTCATTAATATAATATTTTTGAAACATGATGACCCTTTCTTTCCCATGGTATATTTTTATTTTGATGTATAACTTGTAATCAACTACATCTGTATCATTAGCTAAAAATTATTAAAGTAACCCAAGTACAAATGGGTAAAAAACCAATATGAAGCATATGATTATTTAATGTTCCATTAATCGATAGCTTTGCTTGAAGGAAAGATTGGCAAAAAGGAATGGAATTCTTAGCTCCTTGTTTTTACTTAAAAATTCCCAACAGTACTCACTCAAACAAAGAATTTAAGTTTTCCACTGGAAAGACAAAAAGAAAAGTTAGTTCTAGCATGTCCTGCCATGTGCTTAACTGCAGAGTAAAATAGTATCCATTTGGATTCTAGTCACATTTCAAAAGTGTAGTATTTATTAGGTGCACGACTGCCAAGTACCACTATATCATATTATAATTACAGGCATTTTTTTATTTAACTAAATTGTATTTAGCTCTTTATTTCAAGCAATGTAGTTTGGAAAGTCTTACCCATCACAACGTGCCATGTCTACATACATGAAACCTATCACGAATTTTCCAGGAGTTCCCATGTTCCATTCTGTATACTATTACTGTATATTTATTATTCCTTTGATATTCAGAATCTATGCATAATTCTGAATATGTGCAAATTCCCACTAAAAAGTATCAGAAACAAAAGAAGCCTCTTGGACGATAAAATCATTTACTAAAAGTCTATGTGACAGAGTTCCTCTAAGAGAATGCTGGGGCTGTCCGGTGGCGTAGCGGTTAAGTTTGTGTGCTCCACTTCAGCCGCCTGGGGTTCACAGGTTCAGATCCGAGGTGCAGACGTACACAATACTCATCAAGCCATGGTATGATGGTGTCCCACATACAAAACAGAGGAAGACTGGGAACAGATGTTAGCTCAGGACTAATCTTCCTCAAAAAACAAAAGCAAAAACACACAGGAAGACCGGCAACAGATGTTAGCTCAGGGCCAATCTTCCTCAAAAATGAAAAAAAAGAGAGAATGCACTGAATTGACTTTCTTTACTTCTCTCTTAAAATCCCACTGAAATTACAGAATGTAAATTTAAAAACAAATGACTAGCAGTGCTCGAAAACAATGAAAGTTACCACTGCCAAATCAGAAACATTGAGAAATTCACGGAAGATGAAATGCTAATGGCATCAAGTTGATGGGGAAACTCAAACAGAACTACAACGCAGAACAGGTGGAAATAGGTCCGGGGGGG